ACAGACACACGCTGGATGCAAGGCACTTCAAGAAGCATGTCTATCAATTCACGGACGTTAGTCAGACGTATGTACATATATATGTACATATGTATATCACATAACCAGACCACGATTTTTTAAGACAACCCATAAACGCTTTAGAAAAATGAATTGATGTGACCGAGATGAATTTTCAATGAAATTCTCCTTTACCTACCTACGTATGTACATTAGACTGCATCACTCCCCATACAAAAAATAATCGGTACTATTTTTCCATTGGAATTATAAAATCTACTATATTTTAAGACGTCCACCAAAATATTTCGGAAAAATATTAAGATTTAAGTGAGCTGGACCGATTTGAAAATACCTCCAAAAATGTTTTTTTTTTTATGAATAAAAATAGTTTCTTAAAGATTTTTTTTTGAAAAAATCCCCTCAATTGACAAAACGGTTTAAGCTTAAAATATTTGCATAAAAATATTTAAAAAAAATTTTAAAAAATTTTAACGGAATCGTAACAAATGCTGTTTTTAACATTTTTCAAAGATTGGTATAAGAAAAACTTGAATAACTGAACCTAAACTCTTCCGATTTAGACTTAAGAGGTGTCATTGGAAAGGTATTTTCTCACCCTTTTCATTTATTTGCTAATAAACTTATTCAAAGGATGGAAGAGAAAGGTAGGAGAAACGAACCTCATTCAAAGTTGAATTAAGATGTTTTGGTATTCGAAAAAAAAGATTGGACACGAATGACGTTTCTTTTGGCCAGAAATGAAAAAGGTGTGAAAATACCTTTCTACTGAGATCCCATAAGTCTAAATCAGAATAGTTTTGGCCCAGTTATTTAAGTTTTTCGTAAATCAATCTTTGAAAAAAGTAAAAAACAGCATCAAAAATCTCATTCTTACGATTCCGTTGTAAAGATTTTTAAATATTTTTATGCAGATTTTTTAAGCTTATTCTAATTTGTCATCTGAGGGGACTTTTTTCAAAAAGTTCTTTAAGAAACTATTTTTATTCATAAAAAACTTCATTTGTGGAGGTAATTTTAAATCGGTCCAGCTCGCTTAAATCTTAATATTTTTCCGAAATATTTTAGTGGACGTCTTAAAATATAATACAATTTGTAATCCCGACGGAAAAACCGCAACTTGTTTTGGTGATGCAGTCTAATGTACATATGTACATACATACATATATCCGTATGCAAGTATATAAAACAAATGCATAGTAAAAACATAAAAGAATATGTGAAGTATTTCATATAGAACAAAAAATGCCAAATCACTATTTCTTCCCCCAAAGCATCAGCATGACCGTTTGACCTAATTCCATACGCGTTGAGTAATGAGCGAAGCGAATTTGAATACGCAACAAACGAAAAATGCTACCTACCACCTAACTAGCTGCCACTGCATACAAAAACATACATATAAACACGGATGCTTGGTATAAGCACTATATGTATTTGGTGGAAAGGATATACATATGTATGTATGTACATACACTCACATGCGCTTGAATAGGGACAATGTTTTTTCGTTGTTTTATCTGGGTTATTTTTGTTGTATTTAATTTCCATTATTTTTTAATTAAAGTACAGTTAATATTCTAAGAAAATCAATATAAACGCAAATTTCAATTTTGTAGAAAATTTCAAAAAAAAAATCGTAAAATTTCAAACATTTTTCCAATACTGACTGCACACGTAGCAACCGTTGCAGCCACGTGTTGAGACAACCTGCTTTTCTTGTTCAATAGATATACACGAGGCAACCAAGGTGTATTAAACAAGGTGCTATAGACACCTTAGTGCGGCTCTCTTTTAAGGTATTATAGTGTAAAAAAATAAAAACAAACAATTCAAAATTAAAATTTTTTTTTAATTTGACCTTATAGGATGGTTCTTATTCGGATAATGTCAAATTCAATCACACTTTGTTAAATACATTTTGGAGGCAACCAATACGGCAACCTCTGTAGTGTTCGGTCTGCTATGAAATGAACATGCGTAAGAAAATTTCGTTTACTACAAAATCTCCTTTTCAGCTCACATGTTTTCAACAAACTAAGCCAGAAGAATCAATAAACAACAATACGCCCAAGGTAACCGACTGGACAACCAACACAAAATATCAAAAAATAATTTGATTTTCGGGTGACGGTTGCGGCAACGGTCGAAGCAGCATGCACTGGTTGCTTCAACGGTTGCCTCGTGTTAAGTAAGCATAAAAATTTGATTTCTGACGATTTTTGAAGTGAAACTTATTTGCAACTTCGATTGGTAATTAATGCAAAGAATGAAAAATCAACACGCTCGTTGGGCTTTAATTCCGACAGAAGAAGGTGATGGTTTATCACGATTAAGATTATTTATTATTGGATGGATTATTTTGTTATTGTCATCATTTCTGCGCGCCGTCTTTGCTTTTTCAAAACTTAGGTGTCAACAAAAAAATTAAATGCAAATTATTGAATCTCTTAACTACATGTAGGAGGGTTGCCTTTTCTTTAACAATCAAATTCAATTTAAATTAACGCAATTAGGTAATTGAGCTACACATGTAAAAAGGTTTAGGTTTGAAAATAGTTCGAAGAGAATTGCCAGAAAGGCTTTATTTCACAATTATATTTAAGAGGGTTGCCACGCGTTTAAAAAACCAAATTCAACTTAATTCGTCAGTTCAGTTGCCACTTGTCTGAGAGGTCAGAGAGGTTCAGTAAACTTATACAAAATATCTGTATGTATATGATATATTTACAAATGATTGTCGAGCAAAGGAGTTTTTGTTTAGGGTTGTCACCTATTCGAAATGTCGTATCTATCTAACTAAATCAGCATATACGTATGCATATACGTATATGTTTATATGTATAATACGCGAAAACTTTTTTCATGAGGATCATAAGATCAGCACCGTTCTATTGAATTAAAGATCTTGGCCTGCTTAGATTTTGATATTCGAATTTGTTTTATCGGTAATTAGAAATTAGAGAAACCGCACCCTGCGAGACTTCTGCCCACTCCGCTCCGCTCCACATGGATCCGCTTATAACTGTGAATAACATTTGGAAAATATTTTACTGCGGGTAATGGAGAAAGGAGAAGTTTCACTTCCGTTGCTTTTTTTACTGACCCTCTTCCCCAATTTTTTATAAGGAAAGCTGCATCCAACAAATTTTAATAACTCTGAGAAAAAGTTCGAAATTTTGATGAAAATTTTATAAATTACACTGGATCCAAAAAATTTTAGTTTGGTTTTCGTTCTCCAGACGCCACTATCCAATTTCTATATAGAATTGCCCGGTGATTCCGAAAACCGAGTAATTTTTTTTTCTGTGGATACGTTTTCGAGATATTTTCAATTTACCGTTATTCAGCTCAAAACAAAAAGTGGTTTCACTTAATCACGCATATCTTACGAACCAAATTAACAATCTTAAATGGAGATACCCACAGTAAGTGTTGCCGTGCGCGCCAAACGAAAACGTTGCACACAACCCAAAAGTACTCCTCGGGGACCAATTGATGAAAAACTGCGAAAAGGTGTATTACTTTATATACTGTGGCTTTTCGTAAAGGATAAACTGTACTTTAATTAAAAATTAGTAGAAGAAAAAATAAACCAGAAAAAACCGAAAAAGCTCTGTACCTATTCAAGTGCATGGGAGTGTATGTACTTATTTGAGACGTGAAGAATAACCTCGAGTGTGGAAGCTGAGCACAGCAGGAAGAAATTAAAAGATACAAAATAAATGCAAATAAATAACTAAAATACATAAAATGTGTGAGTTTAGAGTAGTGAAAACCGAGTAAACGCCGAAAAGTATGCAATATATGGAGAATAGCACAAATGTGCGTACATACATATATGGTGGGTGTGTGCGTGCACTAGGGATGTTAATTTTCTCACTTTTTACGATTTTCGGGATGTCGCTATCCCGGTTCCCGGGTTTTAGTTATTCATTACTTTTCAACAACTTAAATCCGAATAAATTGCTTCTATCTCGTCTACCATAATAGATTATTATCTATTATTATAAATAAATGAGTTTGAAACCTACATTTTTATTTAAAGTGGCATTTTTATTTTTTCTCTCTAATGTCAAGATATATTTTAAAGGACTTTGTAAATTCAAAGATGTGATTAATTCCAAAAATTATTTAAAAAATTCAATGCAATGTAAAATAAAAATATGGGTACCAAATGAAAGATAAATTTTCTTTAGAATTAAAAAAACTAAAAATTTTTCGGATGCAGAAGGGCGAATAGGTAATTTGTTAAGCTGATAAAGTTAGAAGGTTGCAATCCGAGGATGTTATCGAGTTTATATAAGTCCTTAACATATAATTTTTTCAAAAACTAATATCGTGAAATTTCAAGGATACAATTTTAAAAGGACATTTTCAATACTTACCAGTCCTTATGTACCAAAAACTTGAATCTGATTAAATACATTCACACATTTCACTGAATTTTTTAAATCATTTTTGAATCACTGACGTCAGAGTGAAAAACTAAAAACGCAATTTTACTATATTTGGCACATGGTTTCGCGAATATATTAATTTTTGTGTGTAAAATTTACTATAGCACGGTGTTATATGTATAATGAGCTAGACATTTATACAAAAATATTAATTATTAAATAAAAAAAGAAATATAGTCAATAGTGGTCAAGAAAACCTCGAAAATCCCGCGAATATTTGCTAGGAATCTCGGGATGTTTGGGACCAAAAAAGGCCGGAATCCCGGGGTTTACATTCCTAGTGTCCACTCACACGCAGCTGACTATACAAACAATGCAATTTAGAAAAGCAATAAGTTCAACAGACAGGCATAACATACTCGTAGATAAATTTTATTCATATCGCTGCGGTATGTTTATATTAATTCGGTTTTATGTATACATATATGCCTGCGTGTATATAATTTCGCTATGTAGATAAATGTATACATACATATATGTATGTATATATGTATAGCATATGGATTTGTGGGTACTCACCAGTAACACGAGACGTATGAGCAATCCGAAATTTTCGGGAACAGCAAATCTGTGGTCATCTTGAGATGCAGACGATGACGATGGCGATGCGAACGACGACGTTAAGGACGTTGAGTACGATGCGGCGGATGATGTCAGTCGCTGCTGCACGAAACGCGTCGGATGCGGTCGATTCCGATTGTAGTTGTTGTTTTTGTTTTTATTTCTGCCGCTGCTGTTGCTATTGTTGTTGTTGTTGTTGCTGTGTTGCGTTTGTTTACTACTCGCTTGCTGTTTTTTTTGAATGCTTTGTTGTAGCACTTTGGTTGTTTGGGTGCACGCGAACGTAGGTCAGCCACCGAACGAAACGTGTTCTTAGCAGCACTGCACTGTGGGCTGAAGTGTGGGCGTGCAAGACGGCTGGGTGGACCCTGTGTATGTATTTTTGTATGTATGTACGTAAAATGCGTTCGGTATATTGGGATTATCTCGGCTTATTTTTTGTAGGTTGTTTTTTGAAATTTTTTCGTTGATTTTTCTTGCTTCTTTTTTTAAGCTTTCGGCGTGCAACAATCAATGCGAAAACTTCGTGCTGCTACTACGTGCATATGTATGTAACCGAGACAGTGGTACTCTTGGTTTTGGTAGCTACCTTCGGCATGCAATTTTCAGCTAACTCATTTGAGTGGATTCCTTATTTCTTCACAAACTTTCCCCACTCACAGCTTTTCTTAGGCGCTTGCACCGGTAGGCGTCTAATTGGCAACTGCCGCTGAATGACGCTGCGAGAGACCTTGTTGGCTCTGCACACTGTCTATGGATCGAAGTTCAAAGCGGCGTCAACGATTTTGGCACTGCTATGCACAGCCTTTTGCCTTTCCTTTTTTGCTGTGAAATCTGCAGCCAAACACACGTCAAATTTTGATCTTTATTTCTTGTGTGTGCGCGTGCTTGTGTGTCTATGCTTGTTTAATTCTGCTGCACTGCAGTCAATCGCTTGACGCAACAACAAACACCAACTATGTGCTGTATGCTGACTGACGGCGGACTGCTCTACCGCCACTACCACTACTAAATAGTACACGGAAGTGAGCACAAAAAAAATCCTTCAACTCAACACAAATTTTAGTACAAATAGGTGTGTATGTATGTGTCTCTGTGTATGTATGTATGTATGTATTGGTATCACGTAAGCGCATACAAGCCGCAGGGGGTTTGCTGTCTCGCCAATTCAATGCCTACTTTGTGCCGCGGCGGTCTCAGCTGGCTTGTAGGTGCTTTAAAATGAGCCAATAAGCTGTCGTTCTCCAGCCGCCAGTCGAATCAGCCAAAAGCCAGCTGAAGCGTAATTCAACGAGGATTCTGGAATTACTGTTGTCAGCGCCTACACTGCTGCTATGTACTTTTACTTCTGCCGCCTGGCCGTCACTGCGCCTAAAAGCCTATTCAATTTGGTTGGTGGCTTTGAGTGCGCACACAGATGTATGTATGGATGTGTGTGTACGGTTGCGTGTGCTTGTATGCTAAGTGGAGATGTGTGTTTTGTTTGAGGAGTAGTGTATGCGACGGATATTACCAGCCTTAATTAAGAAGGAGCAGCTCTACTGCGACTGTTGCTGCTCAGTCGCTGGTGCTGCTGTTGCTGCTGCTTTTGAGATTGCTATTTCTGTTGGTCGCACTTCCTTTACCGTTGTCGTTTCACTTAGTTTGTATTTCACGTTCCTCGTCAATCCTCCTCGCTTAAATCCACTCGTTGTATTCAGTATCTGTTCTAAGTATATTCGTATGTGTTCGCGTGTGTGTGTGCAGTTTTGTTTAAACCGCAAAGGCACCTGACTTATTCAAGCCAAATTCTGCGTGTATGAAATTTTTATTACACTCCTTTTTCATAACCAGCTAAGTACTTTTTCCCCCTACTCACTATTATGCACAAAAATGTATGTATTTGCGAGCGACTAACGGTGTTTCCTACCTTCTGTAATATATGTAGGGAAAATATGAAAAATTATACACTTCACCTAAATTAAATGTATTTACTTCACAGTTTTTTTTTTTTTCGTCAACTTAGCCTCATTCGCGGGCACTTGTTGTCTGGTATTTAGTAATTTTTTTACTTAGTTGAAGGTCCCGTTTTTTCATAGTTTTCTTGCGTGCTTTTTGCAATTTTCACAATTTAAGCCCTGTTCGTGCGACACTTTTTATGTTTTTATTATACTACATACATACATATATCTATTTAATATGCGTTGTTTGTTTTAGCATCCCTTCGCATTTTCCATTCAGCTTTCGTAAATTAAACTTCCCTCTACACTCAAGCACAAATACTTATGTACATATTTTTATATATTTCTTCATTATTTATAATGTGTATGTTTATTATGTTTATGTTTATTATTTATTTATACTCCTATTGCTCTATGAGTTTAATCTGCAATGCTGGTCACGTCGTTGCGAGTATACATCCGTACGCGTTCCCGGTTCTACATCGACTCAGTTGTTGTCTCAGTATTGAGTGTTAGTTAGGCCAAGTCGTGTCCGTCTAGCATCGCATCGTGTACATTTTTTCCATCTACATATAGTACATTAGGGTGCCTCTCATTTGACCTAACAAATTTTTGTTTACCGTTTGTCACGTGTCATACTTTTATTCTATTGTAAGACACCAAAGAACGTTAAGTAATATTTAGGGGTAGGCCCAAGCAAATGAAAAATTAGAAAAGGTATTATTTTTAAAAGGAAATGTTATATTTGGAAATGAGTTGCTTGCTGTCCATTAGCCTCGCTAAAACTCGCGATCTGTTGATGGGGGTTATACGACTATAAACTAAATTTCCAAGAAAAAATCGATACGTTGTCTACCCACATTCATAAAAAATAAGTGAGATTTTAAATGCTTTATAAAACGAAAATTTATATGAAAATCTCACTTTATCAGGCAGGTTTTGCAATCCACTACCGAGTGAATTTCAATCAAATTCGCTTTGAATTCAAATTGGTGGGGGTTGAAATTCACTGGTAAGTCAATTGCAGAACCTGCCTGTATAAAGCTCGTTAAATTTTTATTTTATCTTTTATGAATCAGGCCTTGGGGAAACTGTCTTTCTATCGTCTTTATAACATCTCATTTTAATTTAGTCGGCATGCCAGCTGGTTCCCAGACAAGCCACAACTTCACAAGCGATTAGTTTGCTTCTTTAAGATTTTTTTCGAAAGTTGAAAAATAAGAAGCACCCTAATGCGCATGCTTGCATATGTAGCTTTATATGAGCATCGCAACTCCAAATCGCACAGAAAATGCACATTCTCATTCGTACTCATTATTTGCCTTCGTTTTTGCATTGCCATGTACGCCATAGTGTGCGTAAGAGCGCAATGGTATTTGTATCGCTCCACTGACCTCGTCCTCGTCATAGTTCGTCTTTACTCGGCTTAGGATGAAAATGAGCGCATGAAGGGTTTGAGAATTTTATTTAATCCTGCGGTTGGCCTCTCATCGAGAAAATGCCTTGTTTGAGTTGAAATTCTTAGCTGGCATGTGATGTTTGAGCTGTTGAATATTCACAATTTCTAATTGGGTACTTTACTACAATCCACTGTTGAATAAGAGCATAAAGCGCGATTGCTATGTAGTGGAGTTACTAAGAAAAGTTGTGCAATGATACACCATCTATCCGGTTCCAAGTACTCGATCCTACTTAACCACGGCTAAAATTATCTTGCGACCATACTACAATCATAATGTTTGTTCCATTTAAGTATTCCCCTTCGAACTCAATACAACGTTTTCCTCGATACAAAAGCACTTCCAAAGAGCTTAAAGAGCTGACGAATTCTTTAAATTCTGCCAGGGCTTGTGCGGTCAGTGTAGCTAAGGAAATGTTTTTTTTTCTATAAGCAGCCGCCTTTCGGCAGATAATACAATCCCCCGAACGAATTTCTGCCATAAAGAACTTTTCATAAAAACTATTGGCCTTTCACCGGCGATATAAACCTGCAAGCAAAAATATGGACGCACATACGGCGATGCTGTTTACTATACTTTGGGGGTTTTTCTTTGGGAAAAGGAATGTTAATTCCCCCAAGGCTTTAATTGCGGCCTGGCGAAATAGCATAAATACTTATTTTTTAGGAGTCCCCTTAGGGCTGGTTTCTCCAAATCAATTTTACTTAGTTTAGCCACTTTTCGGACTTAATTCAAAAGTTAGCCTACGTTTTACACAGCTTATTCTTGACTGAGTCAAGAAAATAGGCTTAACTAAGTTATGTTGAGTTGGAGAAACCAGCCCTTAATGACAGAGACTTAAGTCTAGTTGTCATGATCTAGTAACTACAAAAGTTACTTTAAAGTTTGAAGCAATCTATATAGATAGCAATGCTACCATGCGGATAGTAGGCACTCAAATATTTTAAGCATATTATTGATACCACAGAATGCCAATCTTTTGACTGCAGCTTCTTCGTGATAGCGAGAGTATGTATGAATTGAGTTTGCATTCCTTAGCTTAATTTTCACCTGACTCTGGCAGTTTTTCAGGTACATAGTTAAAACATTCAACCTTCTCATTGCCTGTCCATCTGCCTTCATTGTACAAATTTTTCAAAGGATTTTCCGTCAGTAGTTTTTTTTTTTGTTCGCGTGCCAAATGAAATGCGCTTCTGCAAACCCGTACCCAGTTTCGCTTTCGGCAATGGCGCTAAGACCAGGTAGGTGTAGACGTGTCTTTTTAAGGCTTTCTTTTATGTAGCTTTCCTAATGTTTAGGTAATTTTTTTTTTCCTCATGGCAAACTTAATTGTTTGGCGAATATAGAACAGCTCCTGTTCCGTCCTGCAGTTACGAGGCATCTGTAAGATGTTAAAAGCTTTCCGGCTGGGTTTGATGTCACCGGCCCGGAAAAATGTGACCAAAGCATCTTGCGTGAATTCGCCATTGGCCCACATCATTCGCACGGATTTGGGTGTAAGGGCGGCGATTGGCGTTATGCTGAGCATTTTAGATATAGGATGGTTTACGACTTATTTTAAATTTTATTTTAAAAACTACTTCGGGCTTAAAAGAATCGTTTTTTTTTGTATCAAGTAAGTAATTTTCAAACGAGATGTTGGCAAATATACTAGTACTCATTGAGTAGAGATCAAATATGATGAAATGATGATGATGAAAGAAAGTTGCGCTCGCAACCAGAATCTACCCCAAACCAAGCACATGACCCCTAGCAACGTTGAGAAACTGCGGCAGCATTAATAATGCATACCGAAACACTGAGTGAATTAATGAGAAAATGGAAGCAAAACACTGACCGCGAATGGATGTCTATATGTATGTTATTCGATATCAAAATATTTGTATTTGTCTACACTTTTGGATAAAGCAACTACTTATGCAGAAACGTTTGCTTATGTCTTGAACCCGAAAAGTGGAAGTCAATCCACAATTTCTCTCAGTTCTCCTTTTATGCAATTGTGGTAGTGAATAAACAAACGTATGTGAGCGAAAGCTTGTGTATATAAATACGTATTTATGTACATTAGGCCGTACCACCTTGCAAGCAAATACACAAAAATTGTGTTTTTATTACCTCCCTTTTATTAGCTCGGGATGTAACTATGTAATATTGATGCGCCTAAATGATGCAGCGATTTCTATTCTCAAGTTACATACATACCTGATGACAGTACGAATGGAAATTATAATAGCGAGGTTTAAGTTTTTTAAACTATAATTTTATTTTACAAATTATCCAGTAACTTGCCAGCAACTCTCCAGTAACTTTATTTCTAAGAATTCGCTCTCATAGAAAAGTTTGCAATAAAGTACGTGAACGCTTTTCCAGTAATAATTTGCAAGTTTCATGAACAGTTGATAAATTGTTTGTTTATTCGCAGCCAATTCCTGATAAAACGGTATATTTTGTATTTAAATAGGTTTATTTTGTAAAATTCAACAATAAAAACCCACAAACAGTTTTCTTTATTAGTTTAAATTTCATCCAGAAACATGCGATCAGCTTTTTTTCGTACTGGCAAATTCTTACAAGTAAAAATTTATCCAGTAAAATCCAGTAAAAACTTGCAACTTCAACTGTCATTTTTCGCTCTCTCAATTTCCCCTACTTTGCAAGTTTTTGCGTACGAAAACGCCAAAACATGAAAATTTGTAAAAACTTTTACTGGATTTTACTGGAAATGAGTAAAAAAAACGCAACTAAAGTTTGCCCAACACCCCTGATTCTCTAGTAAGGCAATTTGGATTTTTTGTTTTGCCGAACCTGAATTCTTTTTTGAAACGAATTCTGAAATAGGGCGTCCTTAAATAAAATTCTGAGAAAGGGCGTTGTTGAAAAGTCTTCTGAGATAGGGCGTTTTCGAACTGACTGCCGAGATAGGTCGATCTTCCACTCAGCCGTCGATATACATACATATACATATGTATGTACATATAAAACTATCAATACTAATTTCGGAAATGTGCAATACAAATATTTACTCATTTGCTTTTATTTTTAAATGCAAGAGATTATTCTGTAACATTTGAAGGCAACTGTCAATTCAGAAACCGACGAAAAGAAAAACGCTATTTTTGTTGTTGTTGTAGCGGCTACAACAACCCCGCCCAGATCGGCTGATATCTCAGTCGTTGACGTCGAGTTCCACTAACGGCAGCCCCAAGAAGCGTGCAGCCTCTATGGGGTCGGTCCACAGGGACGTATCCGTTAGGGTTGTGGGGTTTTCGGGGCATGCGAAGAGATGTTTCGATTCGTGAGGGGTCTCTCCACATGCCGGACATTCGTTCGGCACATCCACATTTAGCCTACTCAGGTAGGAGTTTAGCCTGCTGCAGTAGCCAGAGCGAAGTTGGGCTATTGTTGTTCTGGTCTCCCGAGGCCGATGTTGCTCCGTCGCGTCAATGTCGCTCTTATCGCTTTCTTCGCTGTCCCCTTCACTATGTGTTGCCACATTGAAAAACAAAGGTTTGTTTTTGTCGCTATTATCCGAAAATGTTTTGTCGCGTTACTGTGTTATTTGCCTAAGGTGCATGGCGAACTTTATTTTCCGGTACAGTCTAATGTACATATATACATATGTATCTACCAATGCAAATACTCATTGGAATTTCCTCCAGAGCATTTTGTCCTGCTCTTTGCATACTTATACACTTTTCCCAATGAAATACGATAGTTAAAAATTTTGTGTATGGCTATGGGGAATGCGCAACTGGTCATAAAATTTGACACTACTTTTCTCATGCAGGCATATGTAAATATGTATGTACATATGTGAGTATAATCCGCAACAATAACAGCAAACAGAAATAAACGATTTAAGCAAATCTAAGAAATGCGAAGAGGCTTGTCCGAAAAATAACGCTTCAAACTATAGTACATATGTTGTTGGTAAAACACACACTTTTTACGTGCTTATGAAAACATAATTTAAGTGCACTAAACTTTAATTAATTTCTTATTTTCACTCACAATTTTCACAAACTTAATTACAAGT